GGAGAGAGCGTGTTATCTAGTGTCATCAACAATTTGAACAAGGCCAGCACGCTCAAACCCTCGGCCACAATGACTTGTGGCTTTGTGCTAGCACAGCTATCCACGGCCCTCAAGAGTTCATTCTACCCAATCTCACCCACAAGGCTAGGGTCAACCCGTTATATAGTTTTCGGGCACTTTCCAAAGGTGCCACACGGTGGGATCTTCCCCCATCCTCCCTGACAAAGTGACCATGGTGAGATTCGAACCCGAGTCTCAGTCAGAAAGCGAACGTTCTAACCACTAGGCTATATATACAGTGTAACCCGGATATAAGAGAGTTTTTCTCTGGTCCCAAATTAGAGCCTGTGTTAATGTATATAAAATAGACCAAACCCAGATATAAGAGACTTCTTCTCCGGTCCCGACAACTCTCTTATATCCGGGTTACACTGTGTGTGTGTATATATATATATATATATAATATGCGGGATTTTGAAAGTTTCCAACTTGAACCATATCTCAAAATATGGCCAAACCTCAGAATTTTGGCGATTTTACCTTGTTCGTGCTGAGATCCTTTTCAACGCGTTCTTTTATCTATCACACACATACACACACATATTCATTTGTCGGCAAAGTGCCTGTGTGTGCCATCACCAGATTGATAACATGTTTCTTGTTTGTAATATGATTTAATGCATCTCTGTTTTGCATGTAATGTTACCTCAAGCCTCTTACAAACTCCGTATTCGCATCTATATGCATTATAATTTCCCTGATAATTTCATGACTGGATAAACAGGAAAACATTTCTACTTTTCAGGATGGTGACCTCCACCGTGTGTGCAAATAATTTCCATGTGGGCTTCATTATCCAATTAAAATGCTTATGTGGGTGGAGAGGCTTTTTTATATTAATTTAAATTCTTTCTTTTTCTTTTTCTTCTTTTTATGCCTTTCTTTTTTCATCGTCTTTTTCTTTTTCTTACCACGTTTATTTTTCCTCTTACTTTTGCACCTATTTCTTTTCTGCTTCGTTTTATTTCTTTTCTGAATTTTTTTCATGTTTGCTTTCTTGTTGTTCTCTTGTTTCTCCTTTTCTTTTTTTTTTTTCTTTTCTTTTCTCATTTTCTTTCTTTTTCCTTTTTGTTGTTCTCTTCCTCGTCCACCTTATTCTTCTTCTTTTTTTACTCTCCCCAATTTCTTTTCCCGTAATGTTTTACTTTTTATTCATTTCTCTTTGATCTCAGCACCAGTTCTCCAAATTTTCTTTTTTCGCCTTTATTTCCTGCATTTTTTCCATTCCTTCTTTCTTGTATTCTTTTCTGCCAATTTTGTTTTAATATATTTTCTTCTTTTTCTCCGTTCTTCTGACCTTTTCAAAGTTTAGTTTATCTACTTTAATTAATGCTGCTGTTGCTGCAGCCAGAGTAGTAGTGGTAGTAGTAATAATAATGATATCAATAATAATAATATCGTTATTATTGTTATTACACTAGTTAAGAGCCCGATTTAAAAAAAAAGAAAGAAAGTGTTTGACAATGTTAAACAATTATAACACTGTTTGTTTTCAAGTTATTTTTTTTATTTATTTTCAAGTATAAAATTATATATAAATCTACAACAAATTAATAAATAAATAATAGTTTTTCGTGGATTTACATATTTTATACTTGAAAAAATTTTAAAATATGGCTTGTAGAAAACAGACATACTATCGAAATATTGTTTAACGTTGTCATGCAGTATTTTTCCTTTTCTTTTTTTTTCTTAAATCACGATCTACCCTTAACTTTTGAAAAATATTGGAAGAGTTAAGTCAATCATTTTATTTATTATTATTATTATTTAAAAAAATAAAAATAAAAGAGCAGACAAATATGTGGATCAAATTCCTGGTAGCTCTAAGAGAATCGCCAAAAATCGTATTCATGCTTACGTCTCACATTTTGTGTAGATGTCTCCCCATGCAATGTCCGCAAATACATCTTTTTTTTTTCTTTTTCGCTGATTACATGGCAATTCCTCTCTTTGAATCATCTGATAGAAGAAAAAAAAACTCTTAAATTCTCTGGTTGAGACTTGGGGACAACTCATACTAAACAAAACACAACCAACAACAACAAAAAAAAAAGGTGACTAAGAAATAGTTGTAGTAATAGTTCTTCGTCTTTTACGACTACTGCTACTTCTTCCTTAATCATCATCACCATCATCATGATTTTTGTTTCCTGTAACCTTATAGTCTATACTTAATAGTCTAAGATGCAACCTGAAGCACTTAAGTCAAGGTTAAGAATCATAAAATGTTCCTGTTTACCTTGGGTCCCAACCCTAACCCTGCGCTTAAATTACTTTTCTTACACGACGCGCCCTCTATACCCTGCCACTTAAAACAAAGAAACACAACTCTTATTTTCTTTATTTTTTCTTCTGACTGAAGAAAACTGTTTTGCTTTCTTTCTTTCTTTTTTTAATTTAAAATCGATATAACATGGATTGAAAATTTACTTTTGCGTCTCATTATCCTAAACAAAGGTTAATAACATTTTGGATAATTTTCTTTTTTTTTACTTGTTTCCTCCTTCATCCGATTTATTCATTGCGTTGCAGTAATTACTAGTTTTCTTTTTAATTAGTGTTTTTCATTCCTCCACCACCACACGCCGTTCTTCATTCTAGATTCCTTAAGCACAGCACTAGATTGGTTAGAGCGCCAGTAATTCTTGAAATATTTTTAATAGGTAGTTGAAAACATTAAGTATTAATTTAATTACTTTTATATTGACTAGCTTAAGTTTACACATGCTGTCACAAATGAGTGCGTATTTATTCTTGTTTTTTTTTTTTCACATATGAGACTTTCAAAATATTTTCCTATATAGCGATTAATGGGGGGTCATTTTATTGCTTAATAACAAAGTAAGACGACCCTCCACTTTATGTTCAATAGAAATTACGTTTGCGGTTAAAAATGATGGCCGTGTTGTTAATTTATGATATTAGAAAGTTTTCACATGTGATACTTTCAATATATATATATATATTAATGCATGTTTCATTAAATAATATAGACAAGTTTTGTCTATTTTAAGTAAATTCCTTTCATATTGTCGAATAAGCTTTTAGCATTATCACTGAACCACGAAAGAAAATCACCACGTTGATACATATTTTTATTGTTAATCCTGTTTAAGCTTTCGGCTTACATAAGCCATCATCAGAGATTACAAGTACATTACAATAAATTAAATAATAAATTATATAACAAAGATGGTATTTTTTATTTTAGAATGGTTATGCGGACATTGCAACAATGGTAGTTTGTTTTGTTTGCATGGAAGATTACTATGCAACGATAAAGTCGTGCATATGAAACGCAGGAAGCAAAATATCGCATATTATAATCACGAAGAAAACCATAAATATTCATTTTGGCTATAATTTATTTCGTAAATATCGAATATATTCACTCTTCAAACCAAAGTCTCTTAGTAAAATCTATAATTATAATGCTCTGTAGTGTACATTGAGTTCTCCCTGGATTAATATCCTGCTTGGAATTATTCCTACCAGTTACAAACTGGTAATATATATGTGGTTGCGTGTGTGTGTTTTTGGTCACCAATCCCACATTTATACAAGTTTCATTAACAACAACTGTTATCTTTTAATTTAATTTTTCTTGTGTTCTTATAATTTTCTTTTGGATATAAATTATGCAGAAATTGCCCGAACGTTCTGTAATTCCGAGCGCTTTCAGCTATACTTTTAGTCAATATCAAGGCTGATTTTATTTTTACTTTTAACTGAATGCATGGATTGTTTTATCTATGCATATAGAGTTCTAGGAATGTTTTATACTTTAAGTTATTGAATGTAATTAAAAAAGAGAAAGGTAACGCTCAATAAAATCAATTATGAACGCGGTGTCAGTGTTTTAAACATGTTTGGAAAATAAAGCAACGTCAGACTACGCCACTGTATTTCCAAAGAAGCCATGGCAATAAAGATAATAACGAAAAGAAATCTGAAGAAGACAGTTGTATACTACTACTCCCCTATATTTCTAATGAAATCATGACAATTCACAAATAATAAAGGAAAGGAATCTGTGTAGTAGGCAACGGGAAACCACTCCCTTAAATTCTAAAGAAAACATGAAAATTCACAGATAATAAAGAAAAGGAATCTCTGGAGAAGGCAACGTCAAACTACTTCACTATCTTTCCTAAAAAGCCATGGCAATTCACAAATGATAAAGAAAATGGAATCTATGGAGAGATATGGTTGCCTTTCGAAGACACGTGGCATTTTAAAAAACTCTGGATAAAAAAAAGAAAAAAAAAATTTCATTTTACCTCGTTGCTGTTATCTCACTCAGCACTCACTAAAAGAAAAATCAACATAGATTAATGTATCTGTGTACCTGTTCTAGATGAAGCATAACAGTAAGCCATTAATTGTCGCGAAGGTGAAGGAGGACCATTAACTATCCTCAAAATGAAGGGGAGCCTTAAAAGATCAGACTAGAACTTACTCCGTCCTTAATTACCTAATTAAAAGAGATAATTAAAATCTAAGTATCAACTTGACATCAATAACAGGTAATTGGAGTACGCGATAAAATAAATTCAGATGGAAATGGTGGTGATGTATTCTATTAATTATTTTAACGAGTATCTCCATCTTCGTTGCTTGGATCCGTAACATTTCAAATGGCATGTTTTATGTCCTTCAGCAGGTGTATCCTGCCTCGTGTAATTATTAAAGAACCCTGAAGAGAACACCTTACTTACAACTACACTGTTATATATACCAAAGGAAGGTCACAAAGTACGCTAGCAGAAATAAATGTAGGGCTCAAAACAGCAAAGATGGGGATAGTCATCTGAATAAAAATCCACACTGGTCACTTACTCACTTCCAGAATATTTTTTTCTTCACTTAACAATATGTATAGAAAGTATAAAATTTAATTTATGTATTTTTAATTGAAAAATCACTAATTCAGAGGCTTACGGCTATATCACGTTGAAACACCAGTTCTCGACTGATCACTGATGTTAAGCAACGTCGAGGCTGGTCAGTACTTGGATGGGCGATTGCTTTGGAATACCAAGTGCTGTAAGTGTGAATGCGCGGATGGTGTAATGGATAATGGCTCGGAGTTCCAATTCCAATCGGGTTCGTTATATTCCCTTAGGCGCAAATACCTTTGGGAAAGGATCAGTCTGTTTAGTGATAAACGATTGAGCGACCATGTTTCTTTCGATTCAGGACTGACTAGGCAGAAGAGTTTTCCCGCAGTTGATTACCATTTTTTTCCGCGGTAGACTGATTGCTATGTAAGTCTATACAACCCAGTCGGCCCTGATATTTAACCCATAGGTGGATGGATGAGAGATGGATTCATTCCTTTCTCAAGGGTATTTGAGCGTAGGTGAATCTAACGGACTCGACTTTGCTGTTTCTCATTCCGAACCGATACCGGACCCTAGACCATTTGCTACTGAGCCGCACAGAAAGAATAAACACATTTCTTTTTTTTTTCTTTTTTATTGACTATCGAGGTCTTTTTATGGTGTTCTGTTATGCGCATGATAGACACCGACCGCCACACCCAGTCTGAAGCAAAATTCTCTTGCATGACTCCGGTCTGGGAGGGGCAAAAACGGCTGGGGACCGCTACATTAGTCCAGCACGCACATTGAGAAAGATATGAATCGTTATTATTTCCCAAAGATGCTTACAATCAAATACTATTTTCTGGCATCTGAAAAGTGTTGATAAGCCGTAAAAAACAAATTAGTTACTGATTTAGATGATGAATGTACATTGAAGGCAAGGCAACAAGATAAGGTCGCGTGTATGTTGTGAGAGTTCTACATATAAAACACTTTCACAACCTATATGTAACGCTGCAGAAACGGTGTAGCAAAATCATCTTGTTAGGTCTATATCGAAACGAAAGACAGCTTTCAAAAAGGTTATAGAAACTTGAACTTGTTGGGGAGATGAGCAACTGGCTTTGATGAGTGATCTTTTACTGTTAAGGGGTCCACCCCTTTTTATACAAGTGGACTCGCTCAGTGTGTACTTGTACTGCTGCCGGTGAATACCCGGGAGTGAAACAGTGTGACAGAGTCGAGTCGGAGACTGAGAGTGTGAGGTAACCGCTTTGTAGGAGTCACAGTTGCGAGCACGTAGACTCAGAAGGAAGTCATACTTCGATACTGAATTTCCCAGACTGTATATATATATATATATATATATATATATTATTATTATTGCTACTAACCGCATTTCTGGATCTACTAACCGTATTACCAATTGTATTATTACGTCAATACATTTATTTGCTATATTTCATTCCTGCGTTTGTCATTCATTTGAGACCGGATTTCATCCCGGAATCCACAACATTTACAGAATTAAAATTTCAACACATGAAGAAATTTTATGTGTATACTTTTATATAAAGAGTAAATATATTCTTCTGTGTACACAGCTGAAAAGAAAAACATTTACAGGATTAGCAAGAGCAGTAATGTGTGAGTGTAAGATAGATGCACCAGTTGACCTGATGACTAAGTCTCCTCAGAAGCGAAAACTGGAAAAGTCTTCGACCTGAGAGAGAGAGAGAGAGAGAGAGAGAGAGAGATTATTTTCTTCCTTTTATAGTCCGCGGAAGCGCCACCTAGCGGGCTTCTTGGCAGTCTAGGTTGAAGTAATCCTCACAACCTTGAAAATATAATTAATACAGGGTGCCCCACAAAAATAAAGCAGGATATTTGTTACAGTTTATTTAATTGTTGTTTTTTTTTTTTACAGTTATTTGAAAAGAAGGCAAAGGATAGGAATTTAGTAGCTTAAAACAGAAGAAAACACAAATGTTAGATGTGGTGTTCAAACTAAAACTTCTTGGCATTTTTTTTCAGTACCCAAGTTGGATGTTCTTTCTTAAAGAGAACAATCACTTGGAGTTGGCAATTTAATAACAGCGGCATCCTGGAACAACAAATGGTTACAAAAAATCATATGTTAATAATTTTTTTTAGTTCGTTTATATAGCAAAATATATAGCTATTTTTTTTTATATATATGTAAGGTTTTTTTTCATCATATAGTAAATTTAAAATTTCCTGTATTTTTGTGGAGACACCTGTATTATTGAAAGATATTGAAAAAATATTTTTGAAATATGAAATAAAGCAAAGAACAATGTTCATATTTTTCTAATTAACCTTTGAGCAAGTAATCTAAAATCACTTCGAATCTTGATGTCTTTTTTTTCCTTTCTTGCTTCCTTCCACAAGAGTGGACTTTATTTGGCGACAACCATATTAATCTCAAGCTATAACGGCAAAGCGCCATCTGTCAGAACATTAGAAAAACACTTTAAAACAAGAGAGGTTAACAAGGATTGTTCTTATTGTAAATCTCTCAATGCATAAAATTATGAAAATTTTAATATTCTGTTTTTATTTCGTAATTTATTTTTATTTCATTTTATCACTTTTTAAACTTAAATATATAGATCTTTTTGGTATTCAAAAAAAAAAAAAAATTAATTCCATGCGTTCAAATATGAATTTGCTAAACAAAATGATTTACAAGTGAAAGGAAAAAATGTAATCCATTTTTTATTCAATTTTTTACACATTTTTAATGTTAACAAAGTCAATGATTATTTGTGCATCATAAGTGTTTCAACACAGTATTTTCCCCTGTCAATTTGAAAATAAATGTACGCTTACCATACGTCTCGGGTTGACCGGGGTTGACACTGTTTGAAGGGTATGTACCCGTGTCCAGCTCCTGATATAAACAACCAGTATTGTTTTTTATTATACTCTTTTTTTTTTATACTCTTTTTTTTTTATTTGTATTTTTCGTGTGTGTGAGAGAGAGAAAGAGGCCTGGAGCTTAAGGGGTGTTAGGTCATGAAAACACTTTATCATACAAGAAAAATAAACTTGTAATAAAAATTGTAGACTGTCCCTGGAAATTTTATGGTAAGCCAAACTAAATGAGAATTTCAAAATATAAAGTAAATAAATAAAATCAAAATAGAATAAAAGACAAATGACAAAATTAGAAACTCCAAAATTATTAGCGCATTAATCTTTCATTCTATTTATCTCTTGTCTCGTAAATACACACGAGAATTAAAGCCGAGTGAACGGAAATGATTGGTTATAATGCCAACATTTATAACCAATCATTTTCGTTCAGTACCCACCATCACCACCACTACTACCACCACCAATCTCTACGATCGTTATGTCGACGGCAATGTCAAGAATGGAAAGAAGATATTTATTCAAGTTCAAATCTACTTTTATTATTCACATTTCAAAAAACAAAACGAGACAATGGGAAATAACGTACAAGAAGAAAGTCACAAAATAAAAATGGGGTTCGATGTCTAAATCAGGTGCAAAAAGTGAGGGTGATTAAAAAGAAATGGGGCCTTAGCATTCTCGGCTCAAAGTACTGGCAACTCGGGCAATCGGTCGGGGCGCCATAACGCCGTCATGTCACGTGTTTGAGATCTTCCAAAATTAAAACTTATAAAAAACGTACTTGCGGTCGTCCATGACTCCGAGATAGATTAAATTCTTTGGCTATATTGTTGATAGAAAATGATCTTGTAAAGATGATAGATGTAGAAAGTGCCATGAAAAGATTTACAAATCTAAAGTCTAGAAAAATATTTTAAGTCGGATAATGAATGTTTTCTTTAACTTGTAATAAGTTATATATTGTAATAAACTAGTTATTCTACATATTCAATTTTTCTCCTTGCGAAGATTTTAAACAATTATACTTATATAAGGACGGCCGAAGTTCAACTTACCCAGGGCGCCAGCAACCCTAGGACTGTCATGGACCTTAGTCAGATATAAATTCTTAACGATTCCTCCGTCTATATTTTTTCTGTCTGATCCTTTCGTAAAAATTAACATTTTTAGATTTGTCCTCCTATATGACTATGAAATCTGGACAATCTCCTCAAAGATGAAAAAGAGACATGAAGCAACAGAAATGTGGTTCTACAGAAGGATGCTGAGGATACCATGGAACGAACATATAAGCAAAGCCGAGATTTTAGAGAAAATGAAAATAAAAAGGAAACTTAAACATAACATCAAGAAGATCATTTGAAATTTCTGGGGCACGTAACGAGGAAGGAGGACTTGGAAAATCTGATGCTCACAGGACAGATTGAGGGCAAGAGGGACAGAGGAAAACAACGCATAACCCACCTGGCGAGCTTGAGTGAATGTACGTCGGAGCAGGGTTTGGAAGAAATAGCAAAAAGTCAAAAGATATTAAGAGGTATAAGGGACAGGAGTTTGTGGAGGGCCATGATCGCCTACGTCCCGAGTGGACACGATAAATAATGAAGAATCATACTGTAAATATATTTTGTTTTAAATATAGATACACAATGTTTTTAATTATTTTATGTTATTTATATGTCCGCATATAAGACGACCTTTAAATCCTAAAAAATCATCCTTAAAAATTGGGGGATCGTCTTATACTACAGTTCTAAAAAAAAAGAAACCTTATATTGTGAGTGATGTTTGTCAGTAGGCTAACCTTGGCCTTTGTGCGATAACCAATAATGTACATGTAGAGGTTCACATTATTAAATAAACTGATAATAAAAGTAATAAAACCATTTCTACCATATATATTACTGGCATAACTTCATAATAAATTGCTTATTCAAAGAAGAATTATGTATCAATAAAATCAACTTTTATCCATACAAGCTCAGCTGAGAAAATATAAACATCGAGTTATGATTACGTTCACAGCAACCTTTATCATAAATATTTATTGTGGTATATTTTCTGTTATCGTCAATCATGGCATGTCTATGTCCCAGTTTATCGTGACATAAAAAAGTTACTCACCCACCTCCACCCTCTGACCTTAATTTTCTATTTAGCGTGGATCTGACATTTAATTGGTTAATCATGACATACCCACAAGTCTACTTTTAATTCTGACCTTATGTCCCACTCCCCTTTAACTTTCGGAAAAGAGGTAACACTTTGTTTTTAAATTTCCTTAAAAATCATTTAATCACCAGTTACTTACCATCGTCTGAAG